TCTAATATGCTGATTTGCTGCTCAAGATACATTTATTATTATTATCAATGTTGAAAACAGTTGTGCTGCTTAATATTTTTGTGGAAACCATGATGCAGTGATGAATAGAAAGTTCACAAGAGCAGCATTTATTTGAAATAGAAAAAAATGTGTGACATAAATGTCTTTACTGTCACTTTTGACCAATTTAATGCACCCTTGCTGAATTAAATATTCATTTCTTATTAAAAATGCACTGACCCCAAAATTTTGAACCCTAAACTGACCCTATGTAGAGATCAAGATTGTGGTCGTTAATTAGTAATCGTATTCTCTTTAGTTCTTTTATTTTTGTCTGACTGTTTTATGTCAAGTGTTTACCTGACAAAAAATGAGTGGACTTTTTGAAGGTATGTAGTGTCGGTCCTTTAGGGAACTGGAACAGATATGGCCGTGCGCACTGTGGGGTTCACAGGGCATCTGTCTTTGTCATGTACGGCTTTCGATGTCAGACTCAGCTGTGCATACAGAAACCCTGTTTTCACTCATGTCACACACAGAGAGGGTTGGGATTCCCAACATGGTGTCCTTGTGCACCTTTCAAGCTGTTTAGCCTTTATCAGAGCTTTGATGTTTACCTTTGATCTAATTCAGCATGATGCTTAATAGCGGCTGGGAATTAGGCAAAGTGAGGGGTTGAGAAACAAAAATTGAAAAGACCTTTAGCGACCTCTAACTTCACATATTTAATCAATATTACCTTGATTTGATTAGCTTATGATCAAAGCAAATCATGTTGCAGTTGCTAAACACCCATTGTTATTCATTGAAAGTCGATCCTCAACTCTCAATCCATTCGCAAACAAGTCAGTTCTCAGCTGGACGGTGACTTGCTTATATTCTTAAGTGTCCTTAAGAAAGAAAAGGTGTAATATGAGACTAAAGGACCAATGTTTGTCTGTCTAATGCCTTACTTGTGCGGTTTACATAGGTCTGTGTACCATCTATGTGTTGACATGCTGTAATTTACCACACGGCTTTTGGTCTATGTAATTAGTTTTTACTACAAACTGCACACAAGATAAAATATTTGGTTTTATTCCTATTAATTTTCTTCCACAATTTATGATTAATCCCTTGCTGAGAGACGTAATTAAGGGTCTTTATATTCTTTTGTCACCACAAGGATGTGATCTGCTCATCTTTGGTGGTTTCTTATATATCATGGACACTAATGTGTGGATGTAGTCATAGCAGTTACTTTAGGAATGCTGCTCATGCTTTACATTTGCTGTGTAATATGTCAACTGGAATACATTTGTCTTTTTATTTAGCCATTTATTATGTCAGTTTTTCCATGTAATGAAGCCTGTATCAGGACTCTTACAATGAAAGATTTCATAACATGACATTCTTTAACACAGCATTCTGGAAAAATTAATTTGTTTGTACAATAGGTAAAGATAGGTGAATAGTGGGTACATTTAACCTCAAGGAAACATTTTCATTAATGGCAAGCGTGAGTGATACTGATGGCTTTTAGATTGTTTACATTAAATATTCATCTAAAGTACATTTTTGTGACTTTTTTAGCCGTTGAAGCTCAGTAACGTGTATATTCTACATGTACAATTAATGCTGTTACTGAATGATGTTATCCTGGTGATTTGAGATCTCTATGATGTTGCCAAGATCAAATGCAATTGAAGACAAAAAATAATCTTATCCAGCTAGACTAGCCACATCGTTGCCACATTGATTTAATCCATGTGACTAGTCTAGTCTTTAGTCTGTAATTTGGGTGAAAATGTCTGTTAAATTACATATCATGCTCAAAGGCCCACCCTCTTCAGAATTGTAGAAACATTGTATTATACTGTATAAAATAGGAATTCTGTTCATATGTGGCAGATGGATTTTGATCGGAGAAATAAAATACATTTTATAAAGGAAAACTGTTTAATTCTTTGCTTTTAAATTTAGAGTAAAATCCATTATTGTACCACAAGGTGGCAGCCAAATTGCTTGAGTCACAACCAGAGACGATGCGATAGACTGCAGCTATGGGATTACCTTTGTGCCAATTAAAATGAATGTAATTTTTCAAGAAACTTATGAAAATATAAATTGAAACTGAATAAAATGTCTTTGAAACTGAAAAAAAATTAAATGCAGGCAAAATCGTTTTCGTTTATGCTTCTGAAGTTTTCGTTTACGCTTCTGAAGTTTTCGTTTACGCTTCTGAAGTTTTCATTTACGCTTCTGAAGTTTTCGTTTATGCTTCTAAAGTTTTCGTTTACACTTCTGAAGTTTTCGTTCGCCATTCTGACACAAATCTCTCGTGGGGGCGGGGCTAGCAGCAGTGTGTTCTCATTGGCTACTGAGTTTTTGATTGACAGCTTCTTGACCTGGACGTGAAGGCGTCAGTGACAGTGTTGCCTTGCCAGTGTGGATGTGTTAGCGGCTTCCAATTTCATTTGAATGATATAAAAATATATATAAATATTTTATTATTATTATTTTATCAGTATTTATCTGCTACACTACATTGTTGAGATGATTTCTTAGGAATAGCACAGACGAATGATTTCATCATCATTATCATCAATCATCGTCGTTATCAGGATACTCGCGGTAAGTTGTCTTGATTTAGCCCAATCATTACAGGACCTGGTTATCTACATACAATTACAGTCTTCAATTAGATCATATTTGCTTCGATTAGTTCATATTTCCCCCAGCACATAATGTACAGTACTAAATGTACTGTATCTGACAATGACCGATGCCATTTTACAAGCGCGCTGTCAATCACTGCACTGTCAACTTTAGCAATGTAAAGCCTTTTTACCATGCTTTTTCTGTGTCCAGATTTGACTGTAATAATAATGCAAAAATGGTCAGTTCAGATTAATATTTTGGGGTATTTCAGGCAAATCCTAATACATGCAATTAATTATGACTGAAAATAGTTTCCAGTAACTAGGGTATACACAGTCATTAAGATTTTTAGGCAAATAATCCATCTCTGTGAGTCCTAAAGATGCTTTAAAAACCACACACCGCTACCGTGACAGTAATCCATCTGACCTTAATGGTTGAATCAGTATCTTTTGAAGTGAAACAGATAAGAACAACACTAATAATTTAAACTTTTGACTATTAACAATTACTTCCGATCAACTGTCATACGTGTATGGGTTACAATTCACTTGTGTTATGTGGATTCTCAGAGATGGATTATTTTCTTAAAAATCTTTGTGTTTATGTCAAGAAAGAAAAGTCATACACATCTGGCATGAAGGTGAGTAAATTAGAGAATTTTAATTTTTGGGGGTGGAATATTCCTGTAAAGACTGATATTGCACTCCATTACATAACATACACATTCACTGTTTTGTAACTTATACTGTAACAGGAACTGTTGAAAGGATCATTGCAGTTTAAAACATATTATGAATTGTGAACATATTCTGTATATTATGTTCTTGTGCATTTTGTGTAGTAATGTAAATTATGAGAATACTGTGCATTACATGTATACTATGCAGTGGATTCTGATCTTTCCTGTCACAACATAATTGCATCCAAGACTTTCACTTTGATACTTGTGTATGTGCTATAGTGACAATAAAGAATGTACATTTATTTGAACTAATTCATATTTTCATTTACAGTCATTAAAACTGGTTTATAAAAGTCACACTTGAAAGAGTTGATGATTGTTAAAATGTATTTCCAACTTTAAATGTTAGATGATAATGTTAACTAAATAAAATAACTAAAACTGCAGTTGTTAAACCCCTTCTGAAAAAGAGCAATCTTGATAACACCATATTGAGCAACTATAGACCAATATCAAATCTTCCTTTTATAGGAAAGATTATTGAAAAGGTAGTCTTTAATTTTTTCCTTGGAAAAAACGCTCGCAGTGCACGCCGATTGCCCCCTCGGAGGCATTGCGTACGTGCTCTTTGCCCAAACAAACAACGCATAGATCGTGTGTGTCATCAGATGTTAAACAACGTCAACACGGATGCACACATCCTTAAACGCTTTGCTAGTGCTCGCCATAATGAGATAAATAGAGATCGCTCTTACCACAGAAATGCACACTTCAAACAAAACAGTCAATGAAGACTGATGAGAATGATGTGTGCTCCCAGCGCCTATTTATACTATAGTCGCACCAGTAGTGACGTCATGGCTGTCGCCGGCCAACGAGTTGGTGTTTTTTCAATGTATGCTTCAGACACGGGTCACGACAAGGCATTCCCCATAGCGACCCCTAGAGGACGCAGTTCGAAGTTCCCATGAAAGGGAACTTCAGAAGCGTAAATGAAAACTTCAGAAACGTAAACGAAAACTTTAAGCGTAAATGAAAACTCTGGAAGCGTATTTGTAAGTACAGATCAGCTAATGAAAGAAGAGAACACCATTGCAAAACATGCAGTGTATTAAAAACGAAGTCAAAGATTTTGCTTGCAATTTTTTTTTTTTCAGTTTCAAAGACATTTTATTCAGTTTCAATTTATATTTTCATAAGTTTCTTGAAAAATTACATTCATTTTAATTGGCACAAAGGTAATCCCATAGGACAAGCGGTTTGGAGAAATGGATGGATCCATTAAGCCAATATACACAGCTTCATTTGGACAACACAGAGAAATAAACAGCTTAAACGTGTTTGCTGATCTTCCAAATTGGTCAGGCTGGCCTTTTATCAGATCAGTCTGAGCAGCAGGTTGGCCAGGGCTGAAACACCACTTTAAACGACCGTAGACCAGCAAACCAGCTTAGGCTGGTTTAGCAGTGCAGTTCATTGAAGTCATCTCGTTCATTACAGTCTGTGGAGATTTAGATTTTGACAGTTTGATATTGTTAATTTTAAACACGAAACAGCAGTCGAATATTATTCCATTGTATTTCTTTGAGGACGACGAATATGCAAATACTGTGAAAGGAAAGGTGGGGCGGACAGCTCAGCAAGACGCGCTTTTGCATGGTTTGACAGGAAGTAATGGAGGAGGAGTGAGAAACAAAATTGCAGGATTTAATAGAGCGTAGCTATGTTCTTTGTGTAGATATGCACTTTTTCTTTCAATTTTCTTTTACTTTTTTCAACCAAAAATATTTCATCATTTTAGGTTTTGTGACAACGAAAGCCAGTAAACTTTAGTTTCGATTTCTGCATTTAGAAACTAAGGTGCCATTTGTACTACACGGATGGGTTTGTGTTAAAATTTACAGCCATATAATTTTTTTTATGTTTGTGTGTTTCTCTGTCTATACTTACAGTGCTTATATTTTGTCTAAACGTATTAGACAATATGAGTCTGAAGGAAGAGCCTGAAAGGTGCAGTTTAAAAAGTCTTGCTTACCTATTTTATTGTTTTGAGGTGTCACCTACCTGAGTTCTGTATAACATTTGAAGCAAATTATGTATTAGACCTACGTTTAGTTGAAAATGGTTTCGTTAATATATGAAATGGTACTTATTTTAACAACTCATGATGTATCCATATTTATTTGCAGCGAATCCAAAAGAAAGAGATCAGAATCACCCGAGTTCACATCCACAATACATGAACACACAGACCTCAGCAAAGAAAGTGATCATGAACACAAAAATAAAAGGTACATCTTTATTTGTCTTTGTGTGTGCCTGCTCAGAATTATTTTGGGGACAAATTCGTACCTGGGTCCTGTACGTCATCTTACTAAATGTAATTATATTTGAAGTGACTAAAAACTTATTGCTGGTGAAGGATAGTGTCAAAGATTTAAAATTAATTTTTTGGGGGGGCTGCACTGTGATCCTCTAATAGAGTATTTTAATGTTGTGATTCTTGTTCTGTTTTGGTATATGAACTATTACACTGAATAACATTTAAGTGGGTGCCTTCTGTATAAATGTATGATAGTCATAATTTTTTTGCTCAGAAAAAAAAATACAATTAAATAGAACAAAATGTAAAGCTGAATTAATCATTGTTTTGAAGTGAGTCAGAAGTGAGCTAAATTTGATAAATTATTCTTTTGTGGACATCCTCATCAAGTATAAAAGAAAGAAATTAACATTTTGATGCAGAAAGTTTTCTGTTGGGTTATGATTGATGTGGGTTATTAACTCCACCTGTCAGTGGTTTTAATGTTGTGGCTGATCAGTGTATAATTAGCTGTATAAAAAAATCTAAGTATATAGAATCTCCCTATTTAGGTAAGTAAAGTTGTGTGTGTTTGTTGTATAAGATGTAAATGCTAACCCATATATATTTACTTTAGTGCATCAATTAGACAGCCATTTTAAAAACATCTCATGAACTCTATGAATTAGTTGGAATTTGATATATTTATTTATATTTACCACAATTGTAACCTTCAGTTTGAGATGACGTTGTGTCCTCACAGAACAAAGTCAGAGAGAGCGCATTCTCCTGCCCCCAGCTATAGGTCAGATTTTTCAATGGATCCACCAACTAACTTCAAAAGCGGAGAAACATTTGGTTTGGATTTAAGGTAAATGTCTATTTTTTCTCAGTAAATAATTAATTGTATATTTAATATTGCAACAAGCTCTTTTATTCTGTTATCACAAATGTTTATTTTAAGTGAATCCAAAAAATGGACATGTGAACTCCCAACAATGAAACAAGACCAGGTGGTAATAATCCACTTAAGCGAAGAACCAAGTGATGAACACAAAAATACAAGGTAATTATATTTTGTTCGGTGACAAATTTGGTTCCATTTCAGTTGCAACGTTGGGTGACCAAAATTCATTGTCAATTCAACGTCTAACGTCAATTTTAATTTGATGTCCAATATCGATGTTAGCTGTCGTTGATATGTGTTGTTTTTAGGTTGTGTAAACCAAAATCCAACGATATGTCCACATCAAATTGGCGTCAAATACTGACGTCAACCCAATTTTCATTCTCAACCAAAATGCAACATCTGTCCGACGTCATGTCCAACGTCAACCTGAAAAACTGTGCCAAAACTGTACTTAAAAAAGTACTGCAGAAATATGTATATTTATGTTTATCACAGTCGGTAGGTATTGTTTAACATTGTCTCTTCATAGAGTAAAGTCAGAAAGAGCAGCTTCTCCTGCACCCAGCTATATGTCTTTAAGAACAGATTTGTCAATTGATCCACCAACCAACTTCAAAGATTTTCTTTTGGATACAAGGTGCATTTCACAAATTTTACTTATATTTTTGTTTTATTTTGTTTAATTTTATTCAAATATAAACATATTTTAACCCAATTTTGTAAGACAATAGCTTCGTTAATGAATTAATATGTGGTAAGACAGTGTTGAAAATGAATAAACATGTTTGTTTTTTCAGTATTAAAAAAGAAAGAGAAACAATAACCGTTTCAACAAACAACCAAATGGACAACACATTCATGACAAGGTAACAAAATATGTCATATTTTAATCTAAAACATTGGCAGAAGTCATTAAGATAGCATTCTCTTTTCTTTTCTGTTTGAAACTTTCCAGATCAGAGAGAGCCCCTTCTCCTACACTGTCTCTATGGTCAGATTGGTCAGTTGGACCATCAGCTAACTGGAAAACTGAAGAACCTTTCCTTTCCACTTCAAGGTGAAGTTATTCCACATTTACTCTTTATGTATCATTAAGAAATGTCATGCTTGGAATGCTCAACAAAAAATACACAATAAAATTTTTTACATTTAGATAAAGTAAGTGTAAATGGGTAGTTTAAAAATACTAATCTTATTAAGTTAAGGTTTGTTTTATGGAAAATCACATGCAAAAATAGATCAAGTAAAAAAAAAAAAAAAAATCAAAGGCCATAATATCACATTATGTATATGTACATGTATTATGACTATTTTGACAGTTTGTTATTGTAAAAGTGCCAAAACCATAAAGATGTTGGTTTTCAGGTTATAACTTTGATTTTGTGACTTCTAGCCTTCATCACTTTAGATGTCCACTATGCAAATCAATGTTAAAGGATCCAGTGTCCATCTCGTGTGGACACAATTACTGCAGAGGATGCATTAATGAATTCTGGGACAATTGTGCTGGAGATTATGTCTGTCCACAGTGTGGTAATCCATCAGAAACCCGTCCGGTGCTGAACACAAACGCAGCTCTAGATGAGGTGGTTAAAAGCCTGCAGCAAGCAAGCTTCAGTCCAGCACTTCCACCACAATCCTATGCTGGACCGGAAGATGTGGCCTGTGATTTCTGCACTGAGGAGAGATTGAAAGCTGTGAAGTGTTGTTCAACCTGTGTCGTGTCCCTCTGTGAGACTCACGTCAAGCCACATTACACAATAGCAGCACTACAGAAACACACACTGTCAGACGTGACTGGAGACATGAAGACGAGACCCTCAGAGCAGCACCAGAACACAGATAACAGCTTCAGCAGCACTGTCAGTGGACAACAGGATCAGACAGATAAAACTCAAGACGTTATAGAGGTTTGATGTTACATTACAATTATGTGGTATACTAAAGCAGGCATCATCAGTAGGGCTCTGCCAATTATATTTTAATATCAAACTAATTTGTGTAAAATTAATATTTAAAAACATTTTAAGCATCATAACAAAATATAATACTTTCAAAAAACATTATGTAACAACATGTAATGTCAATCTGCTCTGTCTCTAATAGTTCACCCAAAAATGAAAATTTACTCACTCTCAAGCCATCCAAGATGTACATAAGTTTGTTTCTTCATCAGAAGAGAATTGGAGAATTTTAGCATTATATAATTTGCTCACCAATGGATCATCTGCAGTGAATGGGTGCCGTCAGAATGAGAGTCCAAACAGCTGATAAAAACATCACAATAATCCACAAGTAACCCACACAACTCCAGTCCATCAGTTAATGTGTTGTGAAGTGAAAAGCTGCATGTTTGTAAACAAATTAATCACTGAGACATTTTAACTTTAAACTTCTGGCTAAAAATAATTTTGCTTTCTTCAGTAAAAAATGTCATCTAGTCTGAATCAGGAGATAAATATGTACTGATCAAACAATGTTTACAAGCACAAACAGTCCAAAATAGTTCTAAACAAATATGTGGGTGGAGTTTGAAGTGAGAGCACAACAGGGAATGGACTTTTTCACTGAAGGAAGCAATATTATGGATTCATGGACCAGAAGTGATGGTTTAAAGTTAAAACAACGTAATTATGGATTTGTTTATTACAAAGACACAGCTTTTCACTTCACAAGATGTTAACTGATGGACTGGAATCATGTGGATTACTTGTGGATTATTGTGCTGTTTTTATCAGCTATTTGGACTCTCATTATGACGGCACCCATTCACTGCAGAGGATCAATTGGTGAGCAAGTGATAATGTTACATTTCTCCAAATCTGCTCCGATGAAGAAACAAACTGACCTTGTTGTTTGACTTAAACTAATTCTCACCTACACACTTTTTTTTTTTTTTTACAAAATGTTTTCTGAATTTCATACACTGTATAAAATGCATTGTCCTTTTTGTAGGAGGAAGTCAGTATTTCAGAATCTGCGTTAAGTGTCTGCACATCAGAGATGGAAGCTAATAAAGACACTGATGTTAGAAGTCTTGCCCTCTTGTGCTCTAAACTACAGCAAGATGTTGCAGGGCTTAAAAAAAAGCCTCTGCAATTTAAAGGAGAAAAATACAAAGAAAGAAAGATATTTTGATGAGGATGAAGAGTATTATGGAGAGGAAAATGAAGAAGAAGATGATGATGATGATCATCATGATTATGATGATGAATATTCTGATGCAGAAAACGATGAGGAAGAGGAGGGGGATGAAGATTCTTTTAATGATGCAGAAGGGTACACAGATGAGGAGGAGGAGAAGGAAGATAGTGACGACGATGAGGAAGACAACATAGACGATTATAATGAAGACTATGATGATGTGGACTACAAATACTCTGAAGACTGTGATGATGAGGAAGATAGTTCTGAGGATGAGGATTATTAAGTGTCAATTAACTATTACGATTGTTATACACTCTCTGTGCATTTTCATAGTTGCTAAGACACATTTTATTCTCAAATTAATGATGTATTGCTGGATAGTTTAATATGTCCTATTTTTGTACTAACACGGTATAATCTGCAATAAAATCTTTCAACTAATTTTAAAATGGAGTGATTTAAAATTGAACAGATTTAAGAAAGTGCGGTATTAACGTATTTCAGACAAAGTTTTAAGATCTGCACGTTGGGAAAAAATCTCTAATTAATCTGTTAATAATAAACAGTTTCTATTATGGTGGAAATCAGAAAAAAAATATTAAGGTCAGAGAGGTGTAAAGTATTTGAGTAATTCTACTACTATACAGAAGTATTATTTTGGAGAATCTGTTCTTCACTCGAGTTGTGTTAAAACCAAATACTTGTAGCCTACTTTTACTTAATTACGTTTACAAGAAAACAATAATACTATATACTCAACCCTGTTGAAAAAACCAGCATGCTGGTTAGGTATGTTTTGATGCTGGTTTAAGCTGGTCCTTTGCTGGTTTATGCTGGTCCTTTGCTGGTTTAAACTGGTCCTTGGCTGGTTTAAGCTGGTCCTTTGGCTGGTTTATGCTGGTCCTTTTGCTGGTTTATGCCAGCATCTGGTTAAACCAGCCAAAGGACCAGCTTAAACCAGCAAAGGACCAGCTTAAACCAGCATCAAAACATACCTAACCAGCATATGCTGGTTTTTTCAACAGGTGCAAACACGTATATGTCATCTTTTGATGACATTGGTTTAAAAATACAAATACTATCTTTTTTACTCTAATGTGACTAACAAACCAATCAGTAATACATGAGTTTAGCTTTAATTTTATTTACATTAGAATCTTATTTAAATACAATTTACTTTCACTCAAGTGTTTTTGGGAATAGGTACTTAGACTTTTAATGTAATAAACTTTTTTTTTACATTGTATCTGTAATTTAGGTACAATTTCTCAGTACACGGTAAGTCAATTGATTATGTATCTTCCTCTTCTACAAATAATGTTTTGGCTCCATTACAGCATGGGCGGTAAAACGTCTCAGGTTACTTATGTAACCATGGTTCCCTGAGTAGGGAACGAGACACTGCGTACTCTAGGGGTCGCTATGGGGAATGCCTCGTCGCCTCGTCGAAGTTCCCATGAAAGGGAACACCTATAACCAAAGAGTATAGAAGACCAAGAGGCGAAACGCTGATGCTTTTTGGGTAACAGCCACTAGGTGGCGCTTCGGTAGCGCGGCCGCCATTTTGGGGTGAACTGGACAACAGCACAGACATACAGAAATAGACAGAATAACAACGAAAGAGAGGTCAAAGTGGAATAAAAGAACGCAATGTTGGGCAATCCACTGCAAAAACTATCAGTGTGACAGTAAAAATCTTGCCTTTCATCGTTTTCCCAAAGACCCTGACAGGTAATTATTCACAAAAGTGTAAAAATATTGTATGTTTTGAAGTGGGACGTAGGCCTATGCACCTGCTAACTTTAACGTTAACTGTTTTTAGTCTAGTAGTAAACTTAAATCCTTGTAGGAACTGCAGGTCCTAGCCATAGAAATCATAATAATTATTTGTAAGTAATGTGCTTATGCAACTTTACACATTTACAATTACTTACTATATTATTATTTACTATTACTCCACTAGGTCTGAAATATATATTGTACGTTTTAATCCCCTGGAACACACTACAAACATGATGATCTAGATTAGAACATGATGCATTGCTGTGTCTGTCATAATTAAATAATTAAACAATTTTGGAGGAAGTGGCTGTAGGTGTATTTTTTTTACATAAAGTTTTTTGTTTGTTTACAGTCTTCCCTTTAACAGACATTAATATAAGACAAAACTGCAAAAACAGTGTACTGTCAAGCTGTTATATATTTATTGTCCAACATTCCTAATTTTTCTGTCATTCATTTAATTTCATATGTTGGTATTAATTCAGTGTTAATAATGCTAACACTTGAACTTAAAATATTTTCAACCGAAACTGACATGGTTTCTGGAAAGCAAAAGGTTTTGTGAAAAAAGGGGTAGACTTTAAAATAAAATCTAAAATAAACTGTTAAAAGGATTTGATGATCACTAGTCTGGTGATTGTACGATATTGTTGTCATCGTTCAGGCTGTATTTCAGCTTCAATGTACGGATTTTTAAACAAAGCAGTTGATATTTACCATAGCGGCAGCTAGAAGCTAGTGGACTGCCGAGTCGCTTTCACCCCAAAATGGCGGAAGCGCAGGGCTACTGCTGGGCGCCGCTGTTGCAATGGACCGTTCTACTGAGTTTCGCCTCTTGGTCTTCTATACTCTTTGTTATAACTTCATGCTGCAACCTAAGTATTCTCTTTTGGTTTAGACTGCACGTGCCTCCTTGGAGGCTGTTTTGGACGTGTGTTTGAATGTTTTTAAGTTAAAGTGGATAACTATCCGTAGTGTAACTGTCGCTTCTTAAAGCATTTCTCCCGAAATGCTGCATTACTGTCTACGCTAAAGTCTTTCGATTTTCCTGCTTTTGTGCACGTCATGTCGATGGAAGTTGATAAGTTGATGGAAGATGGCGCCGACCAGTGTAGTGGCCTGCCGTTGCTCCTCTCTGTTTACTAGTTTGTTTCTTTTTTGTGTTCTTTTATATTTTTGGTTTTGTCCTTGTCAGTCGCTGTGGGTTTATGATCGCAGTACCCTGCTTCAGATTCGCTCGTTTGTTATGTACTTGTCGATTAGCAGTGAAAATAAGTATTTCTCTACTCAGTCTGCGCTGCCACCGCGTATACACTAGTCTTGCGTAGCCAGACCTTCAGACTGACGGCTGAAGGTCTTCTTCTTCTTCTTCTTCTTCTTCTTTTGGTTTTATGGCGGGTTGCGAACCAACTTCATAGGTGCATACCGCCACCTACTGTGATGGAGTGTGAAGAGAATGTACTCACCTAAATCTTAAATTCTGTTCATTATTCCACAATTCTTAAGAAATCTCATGACTGCACTTATTTGTTTTCCTGCATTTGGACCATCATTCAGGATACTACTTAATGAAAATTCTTTAACTCCTAAGGATTGTAATTCATCTTTAAGTCGATCTCTTTCTCTTTCATATGCTGTACATACCATCATAACGTGTTCCACTGATTCCTCTGTTAAACAAACATTACATAGACCAGTATTATGTTTCCCTATAATGTATAGTGTTTGGTTAAGATTTGAATGTCCTGTTCGTATATGTGTTAAAATGACTTGTTCCCTTCTACTTATGTTATGAATGATTTTTCTTCTCTTTATACTCCTTTGTACTTTGTGATAATGCCTACCTGTTTGACATGAGTCCCAGTATATCTGCCATACAATATTGCATGCATTTAATATTAACTGTTTCCCTTCTATTCTGCTGAGTGCAATATTTATACTTGGATCATCCATATTTAAGGATTCTTTAGCCATTTTATCTACCTCTTCATTACCTTGAATCCCCACATGTGCAGGTACCCATATAAACCGAGTAATTATCCCTATCTGTTTAATACTATATAGTGTAATCATGATTTCTATTAAAATGTCTTTTCTATTTGATTGCCATGATTGTAAACTCATAAGAGCTGCCATTGAGTCAGAGCATATTATTACTTTATCCGGTCTTACTTCATATACCCACTCTAATGCCATAAGGATAGCTACCATCTCTGCTGTATATACAGAAGTACCATCCGTAATTCTTCCAGCCTTCCTAACCTGAAATTCTGGAATGCAAAATGCAGCACCTGTCCTTCCAGTTTCTATGTTCTTTGATCCATCTGTGTAAATTTGGAGAAATGAATAATGCATACTTTTTATATATTCTTTGACATATGCTTTTAAATTAAACCCCTCCCCCATTCCCTTAATTTATTTATGTACATTTAAGTCAACTTCCGGTTGTTCTAATAACCAAGGTGCTATTGGAGGAGTTACTATTACCGATGCAAATTTATTTGATTCTATTCCAGTTTCATTGATCAATTTCTTAATTTTCCATGCAAATCCTTTACCTGGTTTATTTACTGTTTCCCAACTTTCATTAAGTACTTCTCTTACAGGATGATCCTCTCTTTGGCCCTGAAGATTAATCCAATATGCCATAGCTAGTTTTTCTCTTCTTAAATGTAGAGGCATTTCTGAGGACTCCACCTGTATTGCTGCAATTGGTGTCGTCTTAACTGCTCCTAGAACCAATCTTAGTGCTTTAGCTTGCATAATATCTAGTTTCTTTAATAACGTTACAGATGCAGATTCATACACAATACATCCATAATCAAGAACTGATCTCATGAGTCCAATATATATACACTTTAAGGATGCTAACTCCCTCTACCCACATGGCTTTACTTAAGGAAACCTAAAACACACTAGCACCCCTAGTGGTAAGGAAGAAAACTGCCCACAAAATTCTTATTAATAGGCTCGTGTCTGTTACACCTCAAATATGGCTTGTGAGATCCACTTTCCTGCAAAGGTTAGCTCCAACTTTGATCAAACTCACCCAACTGTGATTTTCTAATGATCCTGAAGACACTGATTAGCATGCTCAGGTGTGTTTGATTAAGGTTAGAACTAAACTCTGCAGGAAAGTGGAT